GATGCTTGTTTAATACTTTTATTTTTTTTAATGGTTTTTCCTCCTCTGAATACTGCTAAAAGTAAAAGATTTGAGGACATAAAATATGTTTAGAATTTTAGTAAACATTACATTGGTTCTGTATGGATTATACACCACATTAATGCACATTTTAACCTGATGCAAAAAGTAGTTAAATTTAACACCACTTCTTCATTTTCCATGTTTTCATCCTGTTTTTAGGATCTTATTTGCTTGGTTTTGGCAGTTACAATACTTAATCATTGAATGACTGTGCTCACCTGTGTCTTGTTTGTTGCTGTATGTATGTGTGTATGTGCGCACGCGCGAATGAGAGAGGTGTGTGTGTGTGTGTGTGTGTGTGTGTGTGTGCGCGCGCGCGCCTGTGTTCTAGCTTGTATGGTTTACAAAGAGACAAATTAGTTTCATGACACTGGTGTTATAATGTTGAGTTGGTGTATGACTCCTCGTAATACACTTACAATCATACTTAACGATGTGTGTGTGTGTGCAGTGTGAGCAGTCTCATCTGCTGCGTGAGCATGAGGAGGTTCAGGAGAGGACGACGCTGTGCTACGAGGAGCGAATCACAGAGCTGCACAGCATCATCGCAGAACTCAACAAGAAGATCGACCTGCTGCAGGGAGCCACCATCAGGTCACACACACACACACACACACACACAAATACATGCAAAATCCCAAAAAATCACAGACACACACACTCACACTATACACATGCACACTAACAAACAAACACACACAAATACAAACACTACAAACACTACATTTTATACACACAAACTCATAATTTACACACGCATGCTAACAAAAACACACAGCTGCACACACACACAAATGCATAAACACTCACATCATACACACACACTAAAATATAAAATCACAAAAGCCCTATACACACACACACACACACACACACACAAACACACTATAGTCACACTACACACACAAATGCATGCAAAATCGCAAAAACACACACACACACACACACACACACACTTGCACTATACACATGAACACTAACACAACACACAAACACATACACTACAAACGCTACATTATATATATACACACACACACACACACACACGCATAATATAAACACTCATGCTAACAAAACCACACTACAGCGGCACACACACATAAATACATAAACACACACACACACACACACACACTAATACATACACTTACAAAAACCCTATACACACACTAATACAGTCACAGTACACACACACACACACACACACACAAATACATACACTACAAACATTACATTATATATACACACACTCATAATATACACACCCACGCTAACAAAAACACACACTACAGCTGCACACACACACAAATACATACACTCAAGACCTATACTCACACACTATAGTCACACTACACACACAAACACGAATGCATGCAAAATCGCAAAAAGTCACACACACACACACACACACACACACACACACTCGAACTATACACATGCACACTAACAAACACACACTAATACATACACTACAAACTCTACATTATATACACACACACACACACTCATAATATACACACTCATGCTAACAAAAACACACACTAACACAAACACTCACATCATACACACACTAATGCCACACACACACACTAATACGTAAACACTTGCATCATACACACACACACTAATGCCACACACACTAATACATAAACACTCACATCACACACACACTAACACATACACACATAAAAAATAAAAACACTACACACACACTAATACACAGTCACACTATACACATTCAAATGCGTACAAAAATAAACACTGCAGTACACACACACACACACACATACTTCAGTCTTCAGCTATATACAGTATATAAATGCAGCTCTATCTGCAGCTCCAGCGGTGCTTTAAAAACCTCCTGAATCCTCCGTCCAGTTAAATGCGACCCCAGTGTGTATCGTCCCGTCACGAGCCCTTAAAAGAGCCTCCGGAGGCCAGTCTTCATCAGTTATTGTGAAGAAAGAGAGTCAGGGTCATCTGCACAGCTCATGAATATTGAGTCTGAGTGAGCCGCTGACCGCGTCTCCTGTTTCCCTGCATGTAAATGAGACGGTCTCCGCTGTCTAATCACGAACTCCTCATCTGCATGCAGACACTCAGAGCGATATTAGGGAAATTACAATATGCTCAGCGTTGACTCTGCTATTCAATACTGTTAACTTATCTCAAGCTGTGTGGCAGATTACTCTTAGACTGCAGCAAAGAGCATAGAATCACCAAAAGGGCGACTCTCTAGTGCAATTCGGGAAACAGCCACTAGATGGCACGGCGGCCGCTTTGGAATGACAACTCCAATAGAACAACAGCATATTATAAGTCTGTAAAATAAACGAGTAAAAGTGCTGATGATTGTGATTGTAAGTGCTGTATTGTCATCTTTCAGATTGTACCTCAGCTTTAATGTTAGGGTTGTAACGGTATGAATTTTTTACGGTATGATAATCGTCTAAAACAATACCACGGTTTGACGGTTTCGCGGTATACGGTATTAAATAGTAATTCTCATAGCAAAGACCCTGAAAAGAATAAGAACACGTTTTCTGACTGAACAAAAGTTTTTCTATGGGGGAAAAAAAAAATGCATTTATTTACTGACGATGTATTTGCCCAAAAGGTCTGGGAATGAACTAAACAGAAAAAAAGTGTTACAAAATAATAGAGCAGTGAAACAAATTTGACTTTTTCCAAATAATATATTTTCAGTTGCTATAAACAACACCACTTACAATGAACAAATAAAAAAATAAGAAAATAATAAATAATGTGTCAAAGTCCAAATAAAGTCCAAATAAACATGGTGCAAATCCTCAGTAAAAAAATAGATATAAATATTTACTATACTATAAATAGTTACATAACGAAACTAGATTCAATATGGAACATCCTTAGGTTCTATGTGCCAGCAAGGATATGGTTGTCTATGGATATGGATATGGATATGGTTGTCTGCAATGCAGACAAACAGCT